GCTTTAGTTATGTTCAATTTGTAACAGTGAAATTGGGGGTCACCACAACATGAACTGTATTAAAGGGTCGCGGCATTAGGAAGGTTGAGAACCACTGGTCTAGAGTCAGTTTTCTGCATGTGGATGTTATTCCAACACCATTTGCTGAAAATACTGTCCCTTTCTCCATTGAATTGCCTTTGCCTAGTTGACTGTATTTAAGGGGGTCCATTTCTGGGAGCTCTGTTCTTTTTCATGGATCTGTTTGTCTAGTCTTTCACCAATACCACATTGTCTGGATTATTGTAACTTCAGAGTACAGTTTGAAGTCAGGCAGCGTCCTCAGTCTTTGTCATTCTTCAATATTATGTTGGCTATATTGGGTATTTTGTCTTTCCATATAAACTTTAGAATCATTTTGTCTATATCTGTAAAGTAACTTGCTAGCATTTCAATTGCGATTGTTTTTCTGTTTTTGGTATTAGGATAATGCTGGCCTCATAGAATGAGTAAGAAGTATTTCCTCTGGTTCTGTTTTTGGAACAGATTGTAGAGTATTTGTATAATTTCTTCTTTAAATATTTGGTAGAATAAACCAGCAGAACCATCTGGGTCTGGGCTTTCTGTTTTGGAAGGTTATTGTTTTTTGATGAAATTTTGTTAAAAGATACAGATTTATTCAAATTATCTATTTCTTCTTTTTTTAATCTATTTCTTTTTGTGTGAGTTTTGGTAGATTGTGTCTTTCAAGGAACTGGTCCATTTCATTTAAGTTACCAAGTGCTCCAACCAAGGTTTTTTGTGTATCTAGGTGTGTGGGGTTTTTTTTTTAATCTTCCCCCTTACCATTTTTAAAAAATATATAATTTTATTGATTTCAGAGAGGAAGGGAAAGGGAGAGAGAGATAGAAACATCAATGATGATAATCTTCCCCTTTATCATTCCCAGTATTTCATCCACTTTAAATCTCCTCCACTAGAATATTTCCTGTTTCAGCACAGTGCCTGGAACATAGTATATACTCAATCAATATTAGTTGGCTCAATCACCTAATGTCCTTGAGTAGTTCTCGGTAGTTTATAGCACACTTTATTTCCTTTGTTCTGTGTACATTAAGCTGGGGAAGTTGCAGTATCCTCATGTTTCTCATGAGGAAAGTGGTATTCAGAAAGATTACATAACTTGACTTAGTTTACTCAGTTATTAAGTGGGAACAGCTAGAACATTAACCTTGGTCTTCTAACTCCCAATGTTAGATCTTTCCTTCTGTACCTTACATCAGCCATGTTTTTCATATCCTCCTCACGGTGCCCTGGGGAGAAATGGGGAGTGACTGTTATTTAGATGCACAGTGGCTCACATATGCACAGTTTTTTTCAGAAAGATATTCACATGATAGGTTCTCAAAGATCTTCTTGACCTTTAAATATTTTTTTTATTTATTTTTTTAAAATATATTGTATTGATTTTTTACAGAGAGGAAGGGAGAGAGATAGAGAGTTAGAAACATCGATGAGAGAGGAACATCGATCAGCTGCCTCCTGCACATCTCCTACTGGGGATGTGCCCGCAACCCAGGTACATGCCCTTGACCGGAATCGAACCTGGGACCTTTCAGTCCGCATGCCGACGCTCTATCCACTGAGCCAAACCGGTTTCGGCTTGACCTTTAAATATTAATTCAAACTGATGCCTGGCACCTGACTTATTCAGATTTCTTTCATGAGCATTAGATGATAAAGTAGCTAGTGTTTTTAAGGAACCATATTTATGCTATACACGTTCTGTCTTCGCTGCTTGCTTTTATTGATCTTCCCTCTGTGGCAAAAGTGGGTCCTGGCTGTGACAACCTATTAATGGCTCTCTTACTGAGGGGGTTAAAGCAAACAAATGATTCATATGCTAACCTGCTGAGGACATTATTCATATTTTAAAGTAGTGCTTTATTAGCAAAATGTTTTTATTTTAAAACAAACCATATACATGATACAATGGGTACTAAAAAACAATAGGGAAAAAGTGATCATCACATCTTTTTCTAATGTGCTTTTAAAAAACAAGTTTATGTGAAGTACCCAAGTCTGCTCTTCTTTTATAGTTTACAAAAAAGTTAAAGAAAAACCTCAGTAGTTATTCATTGCCGAAGAATCTAGCTGACATCTTTGAAAAATAATTTGAAAAGCCAGTGGATTATGTACATGCTGTGCATTAAGCCTTGAGCTCTCTTTTGCATTCTATAATTTATATGTTGTCCCAGCATGAGGTAATTTTCATGATTTTGCCTTTAAATTATGCATATTAAAATGAAATGTACTGATATAAATATAGACATGACCTATAAAGATTTCTTATTTTTACCAGAATTTAACCTTTTAAAGACCTCTGTTGTCTAAGCCACCCTTGTCATAAAAAATGACAGAGCTTTTCTGTATTAGAATTATATTAGTGCTAGATATACATATTACAGTAGATATTATAATAGGTTTTTTTTATAATAAGATATTAAACTATCGATACTTTGAGGAATAAGTGTATTTATTAAGAGCTTGATGAAAAGCATACTAACTTGGGAAGCTTTAGCATGGGTCTATTTTTATGCAAAGAAAATTAGAAAAAAAATTTGGTAGGTATATGACCTGAATTGATTTTCTAGTGGCGAGTTAGTCTGAGATAGCTATAGTCTTTCCTTCTGTAAATGGTCTGCACATGTTTGAAAGGTATCTTTAGCTTAGTGGTACAATCTCCAGCTGTGAAACAGAAAATTTCCCCACTGAGCTGAAGTGACCCACTCAAGCCCACGTTAACACACAAATGTAGAGTTATTCTCTACCTTCCATATCTCCCTCGGCATCAGGGACCAGGAATCTGTGGTAGACTATCTTGTGCTGCTCTAGAACAACTAAAATACTGAAAACTGGTCTTAGAAACTCAACTACCCAATCCTCAAGAGCCACCATCGGAGCTAGAAGAGAAAAAGACGCATATCCTAAGATATGTTGTGCGAGGGCAGGAAGGCAAAGTTTCTTCTTACATTTCTGGACCTTTCTTCTAAGTTTCCCTTCTTTACTACTTTTGTCTTTGTTCTTTCTTAACATCTGAATTCAGTTACTCTTACTGCACCAAGATTTAAGAACCCCTACTCCCTAAGAAGTAACCAGAAATGTTACCCATATTTTCCAGCAAACACTGGCTTATCATTTAGTTATCCATATCCGTTACCCTGTTGTCTGGCAAACACTAGTTTATTAGTTTATGTATCCATACTTGGGAGACCAGTACTGTGTGTTAATTAAAAGCATAGTTTTAATTAACCATGAAGTACCAAGATTCAAATCTCAGCTTATCTGCTTAATAGTTTTGTGATCTTAAAAACTTTTACTGAACCTCTCTGAGCCTGAATTTCTTCATTTATAAATGATCTGGAAGGGATTTAGTGATGGTATATAGTAAGTACTTAGCACTGTATTTGCATATGGTAGCCACTTAATAAATAGCTACTTTTATCATTACTATTTAGTTGGATTCCCCTATTAGCATGGAATCATTTATGTCATACATAACCTCATACTAGAGTGAAATAATAGGCTTGATATACTCATTTATTAGCAAAGCATTTTATTATAATTCCCACCCTAGTCAAAGGTGCAGAAAAATGAGTGCACAAATATGCTGATGGAGATAAAATTGCATAATACAACGTTTTGAAGACCAATTAGGCAGTTTATATCAATTCCCATAAAAAATGCTCTTTGAGTCAGAAATTCCCTCTCTAGAAATCTACTCTAAAGAAGGCGATTCAGACCAAAATTTGCAGCCACTAGCATTTGATAATGGTGGGTAGGATATGGGGGTGAGGAGTTGGGGGGGAACTTGAATGTCCAACAACAGAGAATGGTTGAATAACAGTATTTTCACATAATCCATACTCTGTAATATTATGAAATAGTTGATGATATAGGAAACTGCTCACAATATACTACTTAGTAAAAAAAAAAAAAAGTAAAATGTGAAATACTTAAATTTTGTACACTAAGAAATACATTTCTTTCTCTCTCCCTTTTTCTCCCTCCTCCGAAATAAAGACTGAAAGAATATACATCAAAATATCAAATTGTTTGTCTCTGGGTAGTTGAATTTTATTTTTTTATCTTTGTACACTTTAGTGTTTTCCAAATTGTATTTAATTAGCAAGTTATTTTGTAAACCTCTTACGAAAAGCAGTGGAGGGAAGATTGGGTGTCTGGGTATCTGTTGTTTATTAGTAGTGGCTTTATTTCTTAAAAGCTTTGAAAAACTGAAAGCTGCTCTTTGGATCCATAAACTGATCTCCTAAATTGAAGTGTTGTCTCCTAACCTAAAGCAATTTAGTTGGTTTGAGCTAAGAGTTGGCCAAGTGTAGGTAGCAGGAGGAATTGTTAAGATAGATTCTGAGTATTCGTGAGTACATTGGTTTTGATGTAGCAGATAAATAAGAGCTTAAAGGAGAGGTGATTTTTAATATGGAGAATGAGAGGAAGCTTCTTGCAGAAACAAAACCACAGTGAAATTTAATTAGACTTGCAAAGAAGGTTGTTAAGCAAGAGGCTTGGGTCATTTAAATTTTATTTATTTTTCAAAAATGTCTGTGATGGCCAGAGGGAGACCAATGTGCATTTCCAGTGGAAGATTCATGGAAGAATATTTTAGGACTATAAAAAATTCTTAAGGCCTGGCTGGCATGGCTCAGTGGTTGAGTGTTGACCTATGAACCAGGAGGTCACGGTTCGATTCCCAGTCAGGGCACATACCTGGGTTGTGGGTTTGATCCCCAATGTGGGGTGTGCAGGAGGCAGCCGGTCAATGCTTCTCTCTCATCATTGATGTTTCTATCTCTCTCTCCCTCTCCCTTCCTCTCTGAAATCAATAAAATATATTTTTTTATAAAATACTTAAGGATAATTGGCTTTTTCAGATAACTTGTATTTTAAAGTTCTGTTTAAAGAACAGAATTATAATTTTTTGCAACTTTTTTAAAAATTAGGATCCAGTTTATGGAAAAGGAAAACTTGGAGAAATCCAGGGACTTATTCTGGGAATGTTGGACACCTTTAACTATGAACAGGTAAGCTACTTTCTGTTTCTAAGCCTGTCTATGGTGGAAAGAAACTATTTCTTTTTCTCTGCACCTATACTTTTCCTTTAAAAATTACCATCTATTTAGTGGAAGTTCAATAGATTAAAATGTATAGTTTAAAAAAATTTTAAACTTCTCTTGGCCTTAATTAATTAATATATATATTTTATACACAAACATACATTCCAGAATGTGGAAATGCATCAAATTTGGATTCATTTTATTGTTTTGATTTATTGGCAGAAATCAAAAATATGAAAAACTTTCTGGAAAAATAATTGGATGCAAAGACATAACCCATGAAAGGGAAGGGTCAGCATGAGTTTAGAAAATTACAAAATAAAATTAAAGAGTCTTCTTTTAAATATCCTAAAGCAGATAATTGCCACTAACCAAAAATGGTCATTAGTTCTCCCTTAACTCAAAACTGCCTATAGCTTAAATTCTCAGTTGGAGCCAGGTGAGGAACAGATTTTTTTCTTAATATACTTCAAAGTAACTCATGAAGCCACCTAGGAAAAGTGCCATTTTGGGCATGGTAGATACAATTTCTGCTTTTTTTAGTAATTAGAGAGAAGAAAAAGAAGCATTTGGGTTACAGAGCTTTTCTTAGGGTGCCGTGAGAACTGCAGTTTTGCTCAGCATAGCCCAGTGGAGCTGACACCCCTGCAGGCACAGAGTGCATGTCAGCAGAAGAAAAGCTGAGTGCGAGGCAGAATATTGTTGGGAACTTTGGAAGAGGAGGAAAGGATGGGGTTGATTGGAAAGAATGACATTTAGTTCTATGCTTGGACCATTAGAACTGAAAGTTCTACATTACAGGTGCAGTTAAAGGGCTAGGCTCTGTAGCAAGGAGGATAGTATATTTTCCCCAACTGTACATCTAAATGATATTACATATATGAATGTTGAGAATTAAATGTAATGTGAATGCAATACTTTATAAGCACATAGAACCATAAAAATGATTTAATGTGGTAGTGTGAAAATGTCTTCATGTGACTTAATGACAGATGTCACAGTTTTGAGCAGTTTCAAATGACCTGTAAGTGCTGATCAGGAAAATGTGATCTCTCTGCACAAGGGAGATGTAAACTGACTAATGGCCATTAGCTTTTCCAGTGAAAGGTTATTTGAAATATTGCCATGAGTACAGTTTCTATTTTTAAAAAATCAGGAAGTCCGGCTGGTGTGTCTCAGCGGTTGAGCATTGACCCAGGAAGCAAGAGGTCACTGGTTCGATTCCTGGTCAGGACACATGTCTAGGTTGTGGGCTTGGTCCCCATTGTGGGGTGTGCAGGAGGCAGCCGATCAATGATGTTCTTCTCTCATCAATGTTTCTTTCTTTCCTTCTCCCTTCCTCTTGCTCTAAAAATCAGTAAAACATTTTTAAAAATCAGGGATATTTTCGTTATTTGTTACAACACTTCAAGTCATTTAGAGAGAACTTTTTTTATACATGTAATAAATAAATAGATTTGGGTTTATCTAGTCATTCAAAAGCCATCAGTACTGAATTAAGCCATAGAATGGCCAAGCATACATTTCTCATTAGAAACTAGTAACAGCTTTTTAATAATTATTTTGAGAATTTAGTTAACCACTTAATTTGGAGTTTTTAATGCTTATTTAATTTTATACATTTATAGTGTATTTTAATTTCAGTTGTTTGTGGTTGAAAACAAAACAACTGATATTTTCTATTCATCCCCTCTGTGTCTTTCATTTTATAAACCACTTTTTTATTTGTTTGTCTTTTGTTTTGGCCTTTCCTAGACCCTGCTGGAAACAACTACCAGCCTTCTAAACCAAGATCTCCACTGGTCACTGTGTAACCTGAGAGCTTCCATCACCAAAGGACTGAATCCCAAACAGGATTACTGCTCTATATGTCTGCAGCAGTATAAGAGACGCCAAGAAACGGCTGATGAAATTATTGTCTTTAGGTGAGAGAGAAAGAAATGTTCCAATGTATGGTGTGTGTGTGTACAAGTATGGTATTACCAGGCAAGAATACATGTGGGTACACAGCCCCAGTTGATCATTCTAGCAGTGAACAAAACAGGACAATGTTCTTGCTCTTGTAGACCTTCCATACTGTGGGAGTCAGAAGGAATGGGTGTTAGGGTGGTCAGGCAATAAATAAATGCAGCGTAATAAGAGCTATGGGGAAAAATAAAGTACAGGTAAGGGGATGGAAGGATGAAGTGTTCAGGGTAAGAGTGCTATTTTAAGACACCATAATAAGGAAAAGCATCTCTAAGGAAGTGATATTTGAGCAGAATGAGAGAGGTAGGAATGAAGGTTCAGAATATATTTTAAGGGTAGACCTAACTTGCTGATGTATTAGATATGGAGTGTGAGTTGCCTGAGCAATTGGATGAACAGGGTACCATTGTCTAAGATGAGAAAGAACAGGTGTGAGGAACTGGAGAAATCAAGATTTTTGTCCTGGAGATGTTAGATTTGAGATGAATAGTAGACATCCAAGTAGGGATGTCAGGTAGACAGTTTTTCTAGTCAGAACCCTCAAGACACGTCCTGGAAATATAAATTTAGAAACTGACAGCATATAAATGATATTTAAAGCTGTAGTACAAAGAGAGAAGAAATTTAGTATAAAAGTTAAAGGTTTGATCTCAGGAGTAAAGACAGCTCACCTAGAATATGTGGATAGAGGCGATATGAGATAAACTCTGTAGCCAAACTTCTTGACTTCAAATCCTAATTTTTCTACTTACTATCTGTGCGACTTTGACAAGTAATTTAATCTCTTTACATCTTAGTTTTCTCATCTGTAAATTGGAATAATAATGATACTATTTCCAAGGGTTTTGTGATGATTAAATGAGATAATTTACTTAAGACATTTGCATCATGGTGACATATATAGTAAGCACTATATAAGTGTTAGCTACCACTATTATAGGTACAGGAAGATTGGTAGATGTGGTGATAGGAAAGGGAAGTAGTTCTCAGCACACAAAGAGCCCATTCAACAAATATTTATTGAGCACCTACTGTATGGTAGGTACTGTTCTAGGGGATAGGGTGCAGTATCAATGAAACAAAGGATCTGCTCTCATGGAGTTTACATTCCAGTGTCAAGGGCAGAAATGTCAGATAGTGACTACTATGGGAAAAAATAAAACATGTTAAGTGAGATACAAAGAGCTTGGGGAGAAAATATATTTTATATGGGTAATCATGGAAAGCCTCACTGTTAAGGTGACTTATGACAGACAATTTAAAGTTATTAATAAAAATGTAATTAATAATGACTGTGAATAAAATAAAACGTGATATAGAAGAAAGAGAACGTTTGGAGCTACTAATTTATAAAGTCATTAGGGAAAGTCTCACTATTTAAGTGACATCTGATCAGAGACATGGCTGTGCAATGTCAGAGGAGAATACCTGAGGCAGAGGGTCGGCAAGTGCAGAGCCTGAAGGCAAGAGCGGTCTGGACAGATTTAAGGAGTAGTGAATGAGTAGGCGAGTGCTGCCTGAGCAGAGAGAAGGAAAGGAAAGATGGTAAGGGATGACTTCAGAGGAGGAATAGAGGCAAAATCATGTAGGAAGTGCATCATTGTAAAGAATTAAACTTTTACTCTGAGATGAGAAGCCACTGAGGATAGGATTAACATTATCTGACCTGTGTCTTAAGGATCACTTTGTGTTGAGAATGGTCTATAGAAAGGCAAGGATGAAAGTAGAATGACCAGTTAGGCTACTGCAGTAATCCAAGTGAGAGAGGGCCCAAGGTAGTAATTATGAGGTAAAGCGTGGTCGGATTCCGGATATATTCTGAAGATAGAGCTGAGAATATTTGGTAACAAATCTTTCTAGATTAGATATGAGGTGTGAGAGAAAGAGACTAGTCAAGGATGACTCCAAAGATTTTGGCCTGAGAAACTGGAAGAATGTAGTTGCCATTTATTGAGACGTAGAAGGTTAGATGAGAGCATGGAGTGGGGGGTGGTGTGTGGTGAAAATCAAGAATTTTGGCTATGTTAAATTTAAGTCCATTAATATTCAATGTAGAATTCTTGAGGAGAAAGATGGGTGGGGTTTAGGAGAGAAGTCTGGGCAGTTATCAGCACGTGGGTGGTATTTGAAAGTTATGGAACTGGAAGGAATCACTAAAGGAGCAAGGGTTTTATAGAGAAGAGAAAGATTGTATATAGAAAGAGAAAGACTGTAGAGACTACAGAAGAGAAAAGGATTGACTTCTATGGCAGTCCAGCATTCAGGTTTGGGAAATGAGGGGGAATCAGTGTAGATGACTGAGAATTATACTCAACATCATGTCAGGAGGTTCATTTGTTAATTTAATGTAATCAATGGGGGATTTCTTCATAGGAAGAGTGTAAGAATTTACTGTAGCACTGACATTCTTATTAATGCTTAATCAAATCACTGCTTTTGTCTTGAATTTGATGAGGCAGACAACTCATGTTATTATGTAAGCTACTTATATAATAAGTAGAGGCCCAGTGCACGAAATTCATGCACTCAGGGAGCGAGGGAGGTCTCTTTGCCCGGACTACGCCTTCTTGCAGTCTGAGACTCCTTGGGGGATGTTCGCCTGCCTTCTTAGGCCTGATCCCTGGGAGGATCGGACCTAAGCCAGCAGTCAGACATCTCTCTTGCAGTCCTGGGCTCTCGCAGTCCAGGACCCCTCCCTCCTTACCGCCTGCCTGCAGGAGAGGTGGGAGAGGCTCCCGCCACCGCCTCTGCACTTGCCAGCCATGAGCCTGGCTTTTGGCTGAGTGGCGCTCCCCCTGTGGGAGCGGACTGACCACCAGGGGGCAGCTCCTGCATTGAGCGTCTGCCCGTTGGTGGTCAGTGTGTGTCACAGTGACCAGTCATTCCCAGTGGTTCTGCTGTTAGGGTCAATTTGCATATTACCGTTTTATTATATAGGATAGAGGCCTGGTGCATGGGTGGGGGCCAGCTGGTTTGCCCTGAAGGGTGTCCTGGATCAGGGTGGGGGTCCTGCTGGGGTGCCTGGCCAGCCTGGGTGAGGGGCTGATGGCTGTGGGCAGATTGGTCAAGCCCCCCAGTGGGGACCCTCACCCCATGGGGGTTTGGCCAGCCTGGGTGAGGGGCTGAGGGCTGTTTTCAGGCTGGCCACAGCCCCTTTAGGGTGGGGGGCCCTACTGGGGTGACTAGCCTGCCTGGGTCAGGGGCTGATGGCTGTTTGCAGGCTGACCAAGCCCCCCAGTGGGGACCCTCACCCCATGGGGGTTTGGCTAGCCCGGGTGAGGGGCTGATGGCTGTTTGCAGGCTGGCCAAGCCCCCTAGTGGGGACCCTCACCCCATGGTGGTTTGGCTAGCCTGGGTGAGGGGCTGATGGCTATTTGCAGGCTGGCCACAGACCCTTCAGGGTGGGGGGCCAGACTGGGGTTCCTGGCCAGCCTGGGTGAGGAGCTAGTGGCCGTTCTCAGGCTGGCCACAGCTGCGGGCTGGAAGCAGGTATCTGGGATTTATTTATGTTCTATAATTGAAACTTTCTAGCCTTGAGCAGAGCCCAGGGTTAACAGGGCAGGCGAGAAACTTGGCTTCCTCCATTCCTGGGGGCACCCCAAGCCTCCTGCTTGCTCCAGCTTCATGGCCACCACCATCTTAGTTGGGTTTAATTTGCATATTCACTCCTGTTTGGCTGGTGGGTGTAGCGGAGGTATGGTCAATTTACATGTTTCTCTTTTGTTAGATTAGATGATTTCCCCAATTGACGTTTTTTCAAACTGTCTAAAAATATTTCATAGTTTGAGAAATGAACAGATGTTTAACTTATCCCTCAGTTGGTTTGTAGTCAGAGAACCGTGATTCTGTTCTTACTAACAGCTTAAGTATACAAATCTGTGAGTCTGGATTTCAAAAAGAGAAGACAACAATAACTTTATTCCCTTTCTTGTTTCTTAACCAATACAACCAAGAGTGCATTTCAGCATATCAGAAATCTTTATCATTTATGAACACTCCAACATAGCTTATGTTTATGAGTTTTGTAATAATGGAAAGTGCAATTGGTTGCCTTCATTTTGCAGTTGTGGCCATTTGTATCACTCATTTTGTCTGCAAAACAAAGAGTGCACCATAGAAATTGAAGGGCAAACAAGATGGACATGCTACAAATGCAGCTCAAGTTACAAAGCTGGAAAATTAAGTGAAAATTCATCTGAAGTAAAAAAAGGAAGGATAACTCCATCACAGGTAAGACTTGCTTTCATGGGAAATGGGGATGGTCTTTTCTTATAAATGTCTTGTAAGCCTGGCCTCATTTTTTGCAGGTCCTATAGGCTTCAGCAAATTTACCTGATGAGAATCTAGTGCATGACATCTGTTCAGTTCTACGTAGAGGAGAAGAGCGTCTCTTCTCTGTCCAGCACTGAAAAGCAGAGATTTGAGAGCAATTTTCTGCCCTTGAAATTTTTATGGTCTAGTTCAGTGGTCGGCAAACTGCGGCTTGCGAGCCACATGCGGCTCTTTGGCCCCTTGAGTGTGGCTCTTCCACAAAATACCGACTTTTATGCATGGGCCACGAAGTTTCAATCGCACTTTACATGCGCACCTGCACGTGATATGTTTTGGAAGAGCCACACTCAAGGGGCCAAAGAGCTGCATGTGGCTCGCGAGCTGCAGTTTGCCAACCACTAGTCTAGTTCAAAAGAAAGATTACATACATCTGCTTGCTTAAGATCCTTTGACAAAGAGGTCAACAAGTACAACAGTCACACTGCTAATGAGGACCTACCTATGTGCTGAGGCATGAGTTATTTATTTATTTATTTATTTATTTATTTATTTATTTTTGTGCACCCTAATGACCAGACATTGCATAACTTGATACATGATCATCTCCCAAATCCTACACCCATCCAGCACCACACCTAATTATTAGAATATTACTGACTATACTAGAGGCCTGGTGCACGAAGTTTGTGCTGGGGGGGGGGGGGGGAGGTGTCCTCCAATCTGGGACCGCTTCGGGGATGTTCGACTGCCGATTTAAGCCCGATCACACAGGGATCAGACCTAAACTGGCAGTCGGACATCCGTCTCGCAATCAGCGACTGCTGGCTCCTAAGTGCTCGCCTGCCTGCCTACCTGCCTGATCGCCCCTAACTGCTTCTGCTTGCCAGCCAGATCGCCCCCTAACTGCTCCAATGCCGACCTGATTGACGCCTATCTCCTCCCCTGTGGGCCTAATCGCCCCCAACTGCCCTCCCTGCCGGCCTGATCACCCCCAAATGTCCTCCCCTGCAGGCCTGGTCACTCCCAACTGCCCTCCCCTGCCGGCCTGGTCGCTCCCAACTGCCCTTCCCTGCTGGCCTGGTTTACCCCAACTGTCCTCCTCTGCTGGCCTGATCTCATCCCCAACTGCCCTCTCTTGCTGGCCTGATGGCCCCTAACTGCCCTCCCCTGCCGGCCTGGTTGCACCGAACTGCCCTCCCTGCCAGCCTGGTTACCCCCAGCTGCCCTCCCTTGCCAGCCTGGTCCCCCCCAGCTGCCCTGCCCTGCAGGCCTCGTCCCCCCCAGCTGCCCTGCCCTGCAGGCCTCGTCCCCCCCAGCTGCCCTCCCCTGCAGGCTGGTCACCCCCAACTTCCCCCTCTGCCACCCTGGTCGCCCCACGCAGCCTGCTTTTCAGTCGTTTGGTCGTTTCTCACTAACCCCCCTGCCAGCCTGGTTTCCCCACGCAGCCTGCTGTTCAGTCGTTTGGTCGTCCCTCACTAACCCCCTGCCGGCCTTGTTGCCCCAAGCAGCCTGCTGTTTGGTCATTACTGTTACTGTGACGGCTCCAGGACAATTTGCATATTCCTCTTTTATTAGTATAGATTCCCTATGTTGTTACTTTACATCCCCATGACTATTCTGTAACAACCAATTTGTACTTCTTAATCCCTTTACCTTTTTCTTCCACCCCCCAACCCCCCTCCCATCTGGCAACTAACAAAAAGTTCTCTGTATCTAACAGTCTGTTCTGTTCTGCTTGTTCATTTTGTTTGTAGATTCCATTGTTGATAGTTATGTATTTAATGCCATTTTATTGTTCATACTTTTGATCTTTTTTTCTTCTTCTTCTTTAATAAGACCCTTGAACATTTCATGTAATACTAGTTTTGCAGTGATGAACTGCGTTAGCTTTTTCTTGTTTGGGAAGCTCTTTAACTGTTCTTTGATTCTAAATGATAGCTTTGCAGGTTAGAGTGGTCTTGGTTAATAGGTCCTTGCTTTTCTTCACTTTTAAGTAGGGCTCATGGACAAGGCACATGCACAGGTGCTCTGTGCATGGTTTTCTCAGCTGGGTAACTTTCTTCCAAGAACTTGATGCAGTAGTGTTCATGTGAGGAATTTTCATTGCATTTGGAGTCTGACTAATGGAATAGATACAGTTATATTCATTTTACATCAAATTATTATTATTTTTTCTTCATAGGCAGGCAGTGAGCTGAGTTTGAACTCTACTCTTAGTAGCTTTTGGGAGAACAGGACTTGACACCATGAGGGGCTCAGTGTGGAGGAGGAGCAGTTGCTAGGGCTGTAACTTGATCACTGTGCTGTTCTCAGTTTGCTTCTTTTTCAAAGTGAGAAGTGGGATCACATTTGCTGTTTCCTGCTTTTTACCGTGTACCACCCTATGCTGTAGTCAGCCTTAGCATTACATGAAAAGTTGGCCCTGTTGTTGTTGTCTCTTATCTTTGTTTCATCAGCTTTTGGTGTTGAATCAGAGGCAGACCAAGTAAAACCCCCTGACCTAGTTTCTCCCTGATAACAGTTTGGTTGGTAGGCATTCATTTGTATATTCACCCATTATATATGGAGCAGTGTGCCAGGCCCTGCTAAGTGCTAGGAATACAATAGTAGACAAGACATTTGCCTATGGAGTTTATAACCAATCCTATCTAATAAAGAGGGAATATGCTAATTGACCCTCACGCCATTGCAAAGATGGCAACACCACAGCCAATAAGGAGGGAATATGCTAATTGACTGCCCCACCCTCAAAGATGGCAGTGACCACAGCCACAAGATGGCCGGCAGAGGCGGGCAGTTGGTGGCAACCAGGCCGGCAGGGGTGGGCAGTTAGGGGCAACCAGGCCGGCAGGGGAGGGCAGTTGTGGGCAATCAGGCCAGAAGGGGAGGGCAGTTAGGGGTGACCAGGCCAGCAGGGGAGGGCAGTTGGGGGCGATCGGGCTGGCAGGGGAGGGCAGTTGGGAGCGATCAGGCCAGCAGGGGAGGGCAGTTGGGGGTGATTGGGCCAGCAGGGGAGGGCAGTTGGGGGTGATCGGGCTGGCAGGGGAGCAATTAGGCATTGATCAGGCTGACAGGGGAGTGGTTAGGAGCAATGAGGCAGGTGAGCGGTTGGGAGCTAGCGGTCACAGATTGTGAGAGGGATGTCCGGCAGTCAGACATCCCCGAAGGGGTCCCAGATTGGAAAGGGTGCAGACTGGGCTGAGGGACACCACACACACACACACACACACACACACACACCCAGTACACGAATTTCATGCACCGGCCTCTAGTGTAATTATAAACAGGTTTTGAAAAAGTGTTCTTAAGTAAGTTATTTCTAACACCAATTCTGTCAATTCTCTGGACTGAACATCCAACAATCCCATTCAATTCTGACACTAACTACCAGATATTAGTGTCAGAATCCCCAAGTTTAAAAGGAGTTCATTGTCATTAAACTGTCCTCACTACAGGCACCAGCCGCAAAGGAGGTGTCCAGATTACCCACACTGTGGTCTAACTTTGCTAAATCATGGATTCCTGTGACACCCCATCCCCTGCCCAAGTTTAATAATTCACTAGAATGACTCATAGAACTTTGGAAAATACCTTACATTTACCTGTTTATTATAAAGGATACAACTCAGAAATAGCCAAAGGAAAGAAATGCATAGGAAGTGGTCTTGGGGGTGGGGAGGGGGTAAGGGTGCTTCTATAACCTCTCCCACATGACATCTTTGTGTATCAGTGTGCTCACCAGCCCAGGAGCACTTTGAACCTCATTTAGGAATTTTTATGGAGGTGTCATTATCTCTATATATAAAAGCCCAGTGACTGAACGGTGGAATGACCAGAACAACTGGTCAACCAGATGCTATGACACGCACTGACCACTCGGGGGCAGATGCTCAATGCAGGAGCTGCCCCCTGGTGGTCAGTGTGCTCCCACAGTGGGAACATCGCTTGGCTGACCAGGATGAGCAGCACTCCCACAGCGAGAGCAGCTACTCAGAGGGCAGGTCCACAGCTGCTTGGCTGACTGGGATGAGAGGCACTCCCACAGCAGGCCAATCCCTGCAGGCCATGCCCCACCAGTGCATGAATCCATGCACTGGGCCTCTAGTCTATACTAATAAAAGGGTAATATGCTAATTAGACCGGGTGGACCGGACATCTTCCAATGTCCGACTTCCTTCCAGACAGTTAGGGGGCGACCAGGCCGGCAGGGGACCAGTTAGGGGGTGATCAGGCTGGCAAGCAGAGGCAGTTAGGGGCAATCAGGTAGAGTGGTTAGGGGCGATCAGGCAGGCAGGAGGCACGTGATTAGGAGCCAGCGGTCCTGGATTGCAAGAGGTACGTCCGCCTGCCAGTTTAGGTCCCATCTCGCAGGGATGGTGCCTAAACCAGCAGTCGGACATTCCCCGAGGGGTCCTGGATTGGAGAGGGTGCAGGCCAGGCTGAGGGACCCCCCCTCCCCCCCCCCCCCCCCGGGCACAAATTTCGTGCACTGGGCCTCTGGTGTAATCATAATTGAGTAAATCATTGGCCATTGGTGATTAACTGAGTCTCTAACCCTCTCTCCTCCCCAGAGGTGGGGTGGGGGGAAGGGCAGGTTAGACCTTTCATGGCTTATCTTTCTGGTGACAAGCTGCCATTCTGAAGCTATGTATCGTCCCTAGACCAGACACCCATAATCTCATTAGCATGCAAAAGGCACTCTTATTACTCAGGAGATTCCAAGAGTTTTAGGCACTATGTGACAGGAACCAGGGACAAAAATCAATTTTTTTATTATGTCATGGTACTTACAGGTGAATATGTTGTAAGAGCAGATAGCCAGTAAATCAATGTAGACATGGAAGGCTTCCTCAAAATGCCATGTTAGCTGCCCCTGAAGAAAAAAGGAAGCAAGTTGGACAAGTTTAAGTGCAAATATAGGCAGGAGGAGGAGTACTATAGGCAGAGGGAACCAATAT